GGCTGCGCCTTCTTCGCCATCAATTTCGGAACCGTCGGCACCTCTGCCATCTTCACCAGTCTCATCGGTTTCAGCAACATCGGGCATGGTGAGGGCGCAGGTAGCCTCTTCGGTTGCCATTCGCTGGGCAACAGTTTGATATGCTTTGGAATTGAGTTTCTCTTCAAGCATACCCTGTAACTCAAAGTCCGAATAAATTTTCTTAATGATGTGCGACAATGCTTGCACCTGAGCATAGTGGAGCGCATGATCCAGACGCTCTGAAAGCCAATTACAAAGCATATTAATTTGCTGCGCGTACCACTGTTCAAAGAAATTCAATGTCCATAAGTCATCGCCAATTTTACCGCGTATCTGCTCCATATTGTTGCGAAAAAATATAACATAGCTCTGGCCGAGATCTTTGCCAGAGCTGGAGACATTTGTAAAGCTAAGTATAGAACCAATCAGGCTACCTTCATCGTAGCGAGCCAATTTCGACAAAGTCGACTCTAGCACAGACATAAGTTTACCGATAAGTCCTTGTGTCATGGCTACATTCGCTTTATCGAGCTGATCATCAATTTTAGCATGAAATTTGTACAAGTCAATTCCATCTATGGTCGTCAATTTAAAGCTTTGATTTTTAGCATTTAGTATCACATTTACCATGGCGCACATTTCTGACGGTACAATGTAATCGGTCGAGGAAATGAAGGCAATATTCTTTTTTAGCCACGATTGAAACGAAGCATCGGTACGTTGTATACACTGTTCAATCATTTCAGCTGCCATCATTTTCAATCGTTGTTCTAGATGCTGACGAAATTCGGCATCAGGCCAATGTAGATCCCGTATAAATGATTGTAAAGCATCGAGCTTCCAAAATAAATCTTCGGAAGTTGCACAGCCATTGCCTTTACTTTCCCAGCGTTCCTTTTCAAAACCCTTATGTATCGATTGGGCTATGGACGATTCCATCAGATCCACATAGCGAACCACAAGCGGCGCAAATGTGTCGCGCAGATGCTGATGGAAGCGGCCATTCCGCAAATTGTCATCGGCTCGTAAATAATCGTTGAGTATTTGAAATAGAGGAAAAGAATCCCAGGTATCGGGTGGCTGTTCCGCCAATACACGGTCCATGTCGACCGCGAAAAGAGACCAAAATATTTCGGCATGCTCGACCAGAAGATCACTAAACCACGCAAACGCTTCGGCATAATGTTCTTCATTTTGTTGTTGAATATCCACGCATAGTTCGGACAGATGAATGAGATCCTCCAGTTTTTTGGCAGCAGGCACTACAATTTCCCCCCGTAAATCTTCTTCTATTTTCGCTTCAGAGGAAAGACGTGTGTAGTTCACCAAAGCGGCGGACTCTAAACTTTTTTTAATCATTTGTCTCACTTCTTCGGGAGGCACTGGAGTTACAATATCTTTCATAAGCACCCTTTCCAGTAATGAGAGGGTAGCTTTAAGAGCACCATCTGGCCGACCAAACGGGAAACAAAAGCGGAAATTTGTGATCTGATACTCGAGCAACACACGTAAACGTTCTTTGATCTCTGAAAATTTTTCCTTTTCCTCGTGTGTTATGCTGCCCACGCCATCTGGTCTATTGCCGTGAACGTGGCTAGCACAAAACGCAAAGGAATAGTGGATAAGAGTTGGATCTATCATAAACTCTTTCTCGGCACGATCTAATAGATCGGAGAGATAACATAAATGACGATAGCAACCACGCACTCCGTAACGTGCACAATATTCATCGAGCACAAAAACCTGACCAGGACTAAACCAACCTAAGGAAGCATACTGATCATTAAGCCGGTATTCTAGAGTCAAATTTTGTAATAATTTAAAAAGGGTGGCATGATCAAATTTGCATGGATCTGCACTAATATAATCTTCCATGCCATGCTTACGCGCTTTGTCGGCGTCTCCTTGAATTTTCGATATGGCTGAATTTTTATCCTGAGTTACGGGCGGTATAGGTTTGTGCGATTGGCCAGTGGCCCGATACATGGCCATAACCCATAAGCTGCACTCATTTTCATCATCACAAGCAAATGCTATACATTCTCCCTCCCGTACCGCATTAAAAAAGAAACGACCACCATTAAGATCAATACCAAATACAAGGCTGGCACTTGCGGCTTCTATGTAATCGACCGTAAAGCCATCTAATTGCATCATTTGTGATGGTTCCGATTTTTTCTCCTTATAACTGCACATGGCAAATGTATACTGCGATACTTGCACTAGAACAAAATAACGTTTCTTCCACTTCTTCCACACCGATTTACCAATCGCGTATAAATAACCGCAATGCTTCATATTGGGAGGCTTTTCGAGACGACAAGCAATCTTTATACGCAAATCTTGATCAGGTAGATTTTTGGGCACCACCATACGATGCCATTCCGGTGATTTCGATGATAGTGGGGTGGGTTTAATAATAACTTTACCAAGCTCTTTGTCTTCCAAGGCCAGCATGCCTGGATTTTCGGTGTACAATTTAACTTTAACTATAGGTAAGGGATGAGTCGTTGTAAAATCACCTTGTGTATCCCACATGGGCTTAGAGGCTTCGGCTTGATCCGTCTGCAGTTTTTCACCACCCTCCACTTCCATGGTGCAATACACAATACGATTTTGAGCTAGCGACTTAAGGCCTTTGACTTCCATAACAATTACTTCCAATTGGAAGGTTAATACTACATCTAATTTGGAGAGTTGCGTAATGCCTTCTTCAGCATCACCCTCCAGCTTAGATAAGGACCCGTGAGAACGTAAAATCATTTTAAGAAATGAAGGCGTACTGTGATTGTAACGTTTCAATTTTTGTAAACCATATTTACTATCCATGCTACCCTTGGTGACGGGTAATGATTCCAAATTGGCCATAAGAAGATTTATGGAAGATTTAAGCTCTTCCACATATAGAGATTCCATCTCTTTTAAAACGAATTTTGGCATCAATTTGCGATCTTTTTCCATGTCACCAACACGTTGCATGCGACCATCTAATTCGCGTCTAATGGCGGCGGCTTGTTCATCGGCCGAGTCCAGCATTAATGCATTAAATAAAATTTGATGTTCAAATTTCTTGACACTAAGAATTTGTTGAAACATATCGTATAACTGCTCTTTGGAAAGAATTAATTCACTATTTAATGATTGTTGAAGACGGGCGGGTTTTTTTATATCTTCTTCACCAGAACCTTTGAGGATCACATCAAATTTTGCCATCCACGAAGTTAATACAGTTTCCTTACTAAGGCCGTCAATTTCGGGCAAGGAACGCACGCGTTTTTCAATATTCTTGCGAAAGACCTCAACAAAATCTTGTTGGGAACATGAGCCGGACTGTACCATTTTAAGGATGCGTTCAGATTTTAGGAATACATCATGATAGCTTTGCACGGCGTTACGAAAAGCCTCATCGGCCATAATTTGCGTTTCGCCTTTAAGAAAGGCTTGAAAGCGTTGTGTAATCGAATCGAGCTGTTGTTTCGTGACTTTCGGTTGACGCTTCGTCATGTCGGTTGGTTGCTTTGCGTTAAACGGATACGATACGCAACGTGATACGAAAACGTACAATTGAATACGTTTTTTACGCTCTTCCTCCTCAAGGCCCTGTTTTCCTTGTGTACCCGATCCATCATATTTATCGCTGGCCACAGAAGGCGACGGCGATATAGGACGCGGTAAAGAATTGCCACGCGACGACGAGCCAGCACTTTGATTAAGAGTCTCTTGAGAAATACTGCTACCAGCTGTAGTATCGTTAGCAGTTAACTCATTCTTACCGCTGGTTGCACCTAAACCACTATCGGCTGGGCCGCTACCGTTCGGCGCAACGCTCGCGGTCGGTGTCTTATGACTAATATCCCCATTATGACGGGCCGTAGAAGATTTAGCTGAATCTGTGCTTGTTATAACAGCTGCGGGTTTTGCTGCAGCTGCACCGCCACTTGTACGGCCCTTTTGGGCTGATTGCGGTGTTGGTACCGAATCATCATCACCCTCTTCTTCACTGGAACTGGGATCAATCATTTCCTTTTTATATTTTGTTTTGCTTTTTCTTTACAAAATATTAGTTAACAATTGCTAGTCACTCTGCGTGCAAAATGCCAAACAGACCGAAAATGGATGAGTAACGACGACTCGCAAAGGACAAACACCTCATTAACTGCAACTGTAACGATAACATGAATACATACATTAAAATAGCACTCTTTACCCCTAACGCTGCTAACAATGCTAAAAAACGATAAACAACTAATTGGTAACCGATAGTTACAAGAAAAAAAAATTCTTTTTTAATTTTCAAATTTATTTTTATTTATTTTTTTTTATTTACACATTTAATAGAGAAAAGATTAGTCGTTACCTTCAGACGATAAACGTAAATTTAATAATTTTTTCTTACTGCATTCATCATCCAGAGCTCGACGATGTCCTAATTTTTGGGATTTTTTTCAAAGCCTTCAACTTTGAACTAGTTGTCTAAATATAAATATTAAATCATCCAGAAAATGTTTACGTATTAAAAGAAACGCACAAAGCTCTCAAGTAATTCTTATATCCTTCCTAACCTGCGGTAAGAACTCTCGGAAAAAAAAAAAAAAAAAAAAAAAAAATACTTTACCACTTATACCTGTAGGTAGTGCGTGCAAGATAACAAATAACATTCAATGTACAATTTTATTATCGCTCTCACTTTGCATAACATAAGAATTGAAGACAATTTTTTTCTTCGTTTTTTTTTTTACTTTTTTTGCAATAAATCAAATGTCTCGCAGAATTCTCTCGTTAAATTTTCACCTTAAATACACTTTGAATTGCAATAAATTATTGAATTACGGATGGAAAAGCAAAGAAATTTACCTAAGAAATGGAAAAAAAGCGATTTTCATTCATTCATCTCACTTTTTTTTTTTTCTTTTTTTTTTTTCCTCTTTTTTATATCGATTTTTCAAATGTGTCACGTTCACGTTGTTGTAAATGAAAATATTATATTTTTAGCACACATTCACTAACTTCACTTCTATCCCTTTAAATAACGACTGAACTTGTACCGTTATGTGTACAAGTTCTCGCTCAATCGCATTACGTATTACATTTACACACGCACTTGTGCAAATGGTCGATTTATTTAAAAAAAGTAAAACATTTATCAAAATTTTTTCGAAGATTAATAATATAAAATAATCTCTGTTTGATTCGTTGAATAAATGCTCAAAGAAAAAACCGAAAAAAAAGCCCAAAAATGAAACAAACACTTTTACTTTAAATAATTTGATTTTTATTCATTTTCTTTTAATACATCTTATCCCCTTTTCAACGGATTTGCACAAAGTTCAGTTATCAACATAATGCAATATATACGCAATACTAATATCACTTTATTATTAAATGCATATATGTATATATATATACATTACATATTACATATATATGTGATGAAAACGTACATGTATTGATTTTCTTGTGCGCTCCGAATCCTACTTGACTTTTTTAAATCGAAAGTAACCACCTTTCTAGTTAGCAACCCTTCGGCTAAAAACAGCAAAAAAAAAAAACAAAAAAGAGAAGAGAAGAAAACCTCCAAACAGAGCTGTGCTTAGGAAAATCGACCAGTGTACTTAGCTTTCCATTTGGATTCGGAATTTTGAAATATCACGCCCCGCCGCCCTTTGAAAAATCATACTATATTCCTATATACGTTGTGCAATTTGAAGAAAAGTTCCATTTGCATGCCAAACGTTTGCTGTTTGGTGCAATTGGGCAAATGGGATGCACGTACTACTATTGTCCCTTGCTATGAAAAATTTACTGGAAAACGTAATATTTACAGCAAGAATTTTATTTCTTTTGAACATATGTAGCCTTCTCATGCATGCGTGTGAATTCGAGCAACTGATTCGTGATAATCGGAAAAGACCTACATTAGAGAAGATGTCATGTGAAACGGCGACCTATGAATGTGTAATTCCATAGCACACAAAATAATATCGTGCGTTGCTCTTTGTCACCCACTCCTTCCAGTCCCTCTGCACTAACTAATTAACCGGTAGTTAATTATTTGCATACTCTCTACATTATATTCACGATGGAAATGATGTGACAATCCTTAATATTTAGGGAGTTCTTGCGATTCCAAAATCAAGTCTTGTATATGGAAGAAGAAGATGCGTGCCGTTTCGAGTTAACGCAAACATAACGGAACTTTTGCAGATGGATCAAGTATTCTTTCACTTGCCATCGTTTATTGGAAAATCTCGTATTTCCGACGATTTGTACTTATATAAATTTGATTCGGATTCATTACAAATATTTAAATAATTACATTCAGGCATCTCAGGGACTAATAGAAGTAGCGATTTACCCAATTAAATCTGACGATTACGAAAAAATCTTGCTCTTTTTTTATCATTTACTGGATAACGAATTAGGATTAAGACAATTTTGAAAAATTGTTTTATATATCAAATAATACCTGAAATCGAATATTTTGGAGTAAAAAATGATGTCCCTTAGAAATTTGGCATTTAAATGATCCAAATGATTATAGTAATAGTTCGATATCAGCTTAATTTGTTTGACGATGAAACTAAAAAATTTAAATTGGCAATTGTGAGGTAATAATTTAAAAAATAAAAAAATAAAATAGTCATCACTTTTTTAATTGGTATGGACGGGGTAGATAAATCAATTAATATGTTAATTTAATAATTTCGGCAACGTGAAATTTTTTTTGAAAGGATGAGTGCAAAACACTTTAGAAAGCAACGTTTCAATCGCAGAATGCAATTAGAGCTCACATACCTGTAGTACAGCTTTGCATAACTTACGCAAATATTTTTTTTCTTATAACGCATAATTGTGTGCATTCATTATCTACGAATTAAATAAAGTTCCATTTCCTTCTTAGAATTGTTGATCTTCCGACTAAAGTTTTCACAGTTTTCGTATGCAATACACAGTTAATTTACAATATATCGCGTCTGGCAGTACCGCTCTTATTTATAACTCTGATAGTTTACTTGCAATAATGTGGTTTTGTGAATAACAACCCTGTTGAAAAAAAACTAGTATTTTTTAAAGCTTTTTTCTGTGTTCTTGTTGTAAAGCTTATACAGCGTGTGGTTGTTGTTACAAAGCATTGGTACCGTCTGTGTTTATTGCCGCAAACTCTAATTTTTGTTTACATTTGCTCTGCACGTGCTATTGTTTACATTTCAAAAGTAAAGACCATATGTATTTTGTTGCTGTAATGTAGTATCGTGTGTATTTTATTGTTGCATTTTTTTACTCATCACCGATGGATGAGGGCACTATTCATTTTATCCAAACGTTTACAGTATCCAGAAGGAAGCTTCAGAGATCCCACAAAGTACATATATATTCTTGATGAGCGGCAGCATTTGAACCGATTTAAACATATCCGTGTGTAAACATTCTGCTGCCCGCAAAAATGAAGCCATCAAGTTCAAATCTGGCAGAAACATGGAAAGTTCTTGAAAATGAATCAAAATCGAAGCACACGCTCACAGCACCACGTAAACCGAGAACAAGTATTTTTCGAAAGGAAAAAAAAAGATTTTTCGCTCATTACTTATAAACTATAACAGATATACGTACAAAAATTTGGAAGCATATTTTATGGGCCCACGCCTGTCCATTATTATAGTCATTATATCAAAACTTAATATTTTTTCAATACCTTTATAACGTGCAGAAACAAGCTTCGAAAACACTATGAAGTATATAAATTCTTGGCCAATTTCATATTTGGAATCGACCTAACCATATCCGCCTGTTCATCTGTCCGTCCGCCCAACTGTGTAGTATCTGTGGTAAAGATTGTTCCGTTCGCAAAATTGAAGATAACGGCTTCTAATTTGCAAAAGAATTTGGAAGTGACCTAAACTTTTCAAAAGACACCCTAACAACGCCCACAAGCCTATGCCACAAAAACTTATGCTTTGAAAATAGAAAAAATCAGCTGCAGCCACACCGCATGAAAATTTAGTTCTTTTACTTTTTGTCTTTTTTTATGACAATAGTGATGGATATAAAAGATTCGGTCATGATCGAATATAATTTTCTGGATTGTTAAATTTGTTTTGATTCGAATTCATGTAATAAAAATTGTGAAGATATTTAAGAGAAGGCAGATGAATAGATACTATTTAAATCTTCCTCGAAATCTGATAAACTTTGTCTTTGGTTATTATTGTATTTGGGACAATTAATCAAATTAGATTAATATTTAGAATTTTCTGTAATTAATAAACTTAGTCATGAGTACAATCTGGCTCAGAGGAGACACGCTTAAACAATTACTTCCATAAACACAGTACATATAGTTCGTTTAACGAAAACACAGCAGCTGGTCCATGAAAATAATCAAAAGAAATTATCCAGCTATCTAGTTTAAGATTATAAGCCATTGTAAGTGTTAGTAAATGCGGAAAGTTTTCAAATAAACCGAACCAAACTTTTGCATCATTTTACTAGAGAAGGAAAATTTTCAAATTTATTAGAAAATTCAAATTATTTCGGTGATTTCAATTATCTTTCAAAGGATATCGTCCCATTTTATTTCATTGACAGTGATCTATCTGGCATATGCAGGTGAACCAAGTGTTCCATTATTCGATCACCGAGCGTTTAAAAAGTTAATCCTTTTAAAAAATGGAATTTTCTCAAATATATAAATCAGTGCCATTCCATGACGTAAAAATGGAAGAGTATTTTTCGGAATCTGTATCTAAAGATAAGCTATTTTTGTTGTCGCCTCTTAGAAATTCGATCACTAGCATACAGAAAGAATTTTTTCGTTTTCGATTCAAATACTTCAATTGGATCATTGGGATATTTCCGGGCGAAAGCATCTGAAAAGTTGTACATGAAGTGTTGCCATTGAAAATTCAGCATATATATTAATAACAAGACGATAAAGTACCTCTTATGGCTGTAGTACTTGCCAAAGTTCGTACTGGATGTTTGCTGCCTGTACCTGTCCAGTTGAGATATTTAGCGGCGTTATCTTTTAACAGTGAACGCCAACACTTAAAAACATAGGCGATACTTGTAGGTGCATTAATATGAAGAAAATTATTTGACTGAGGAGATCAAAGCATAAAGTAACACTCTCATACGTTCTATACAATAAACTCACCAGTAGTTTCAGTTTTTCGGGGTCCTTATATTTTTCATCAAACTTCAAAAAATCCTCAACAACTTCATAGGACTGTATTGGTAACTCCTTCTCATCGATTTCATTGTGTTTCGTTATTTTGTTAACGTCACGTTTAACTTTCAGCATCTCAGCACTCAATTTGCTCAAAAGATTTGTTGTCCTTTCAAGGTCTTTTTCTAATTTGGAAACCCTTCTCAAAACGACCGTTTCAAGATTAGCTGCAAAAACAACGCACAGGTAAGCAAAGCAATGCTGCTATGTTACGCTGGTAAAAGAAATAATTTACCTTTTGAGCAATTTTCAAAAGCTAATTGACTATCATCCAGTACGGCTCTAAACTCATTAGAATACTGCATTACCTTTAACGAATAGAAGCGAAGTTATTCAAATATTTTTTTATAAATCGTAGAATCAACTTTTAACGATGCATAATAATATTGTGATTACATTTATTGCCGCCAGACTATTATCACCACTATCACTAAGATCAGTTTCCACTTTACTTATCATCTCATTAAAGCCATTCGTTTCGGATTCCATTGGTTCTTCTTTGACAATATAAGTTTCCACTGCAGCATCCTATAGAATATAGAATCGCTTACATTATTTGTCGCCGCTATTTTTATCATACTTACAAACTTTTGGTTCTTTTTTCTTTCATTTTTCCATCGTAAGCCATTATTATACGTTTCGTTACCGCGCTGTTCAGCTTCCAAATGTAGCTCTTCTTTCATCACTGAATGTAAACCCGTAAGTTGAGCTTCATGTTCTTCTTGTATATGCTTTATAAATGCATCAAATTGTAAACATATCGCACTGCAAAACACACAGTGAAGTCCGTAAATTTTTTTGTCAAACTCCAACCTAAAAGTTATTTCTCCACACTTTTGTATATTTGTGCTATAATCTACAGAAGTTTCCATTAAACCCATTGCCATCGTTATAAGTGATTTATTGTTTATTTATTATTAATTGTAATTATTATACTTTATAAATAATTATTGTAGGAAACCCATAAATTGTTAAACTTTATCTCTTAAATAAGATTTGTCGAAATTTATCTAAGAAAACATATGCAATCAGTTCTAGAGCAGCGTTGCATTACGTTTTCAAACTCTTACCATTTTTATTCCAAAATTTTTCAAAATGTCTAAAATAATAATAATACTTTTTCAAATATTATTGCATTTAAATCTTTCCGTTTCATATGGTCCGAGGTATGGTTTATGTAAATATAACTAGTGAGTTGATAATGTGTAATATAATCAAATAATATTTGTGCAATCGGATAACTGATAAGCTGATGACTTCCTGGGTTCATAAACTTTATTCGCGATCAATTTAATGGGACGTTGAGTACATTTTGCGCACGAGTAGGTTTTTGGACAGCAAAAGTGTTCGCACAAAATAATTCTATGGTTTTAATCCTTGCTAATGGATCAAAACATTTTCTTTCTTCGTAATAGTGCATTTAGGTTCCAGATCACCTAGATTAACGCAAAATAAATGAATTATTTGGTGTTTGTAAAGACTTGTGTTTGTTTAAATTAGAATTATCAATTGTTTTTGAAATGTTCTTCTTAACACTTTTCCTGCAAAATGCAATTTAGTCAATTTTAAAAATAAACAATTAATTCTTCCTGATGTTTGTGCTTCTTTGCAAAATACGTTATAGTAAAGTTTTTGCATACATTTTTTTTTTTTTTGTTTTGCTCTATGTTTATGTCGCATTGGTTCATTTCTTCATACTGGCTTTCGCAAATCGTGTTTAGGTCCTTATTTTCCCATCAATTGTATTTTTATTTACTACTATATTTTTCCAGCTGTGTAATATGGCGATTACCGGCGTATACAAATGTTGCAAATGTATTTTGTGGAAGAAGAGTCGCGTAGTCGTCATATTGGTTTCACCAATTATTTGCAATGAAGTTCTTGGAGTTTCGTCAGTGGCCACTTTCAGTGGCAAACTTGTCAAACACAAGTTAAGATTTTGGTCAGACCAGCGGAATGAAGTCCATATATTATTATTATGTAACGTGTACGCGTTTTCATCATACAATTGGAATAAGAATGGTAAGGCGTATGCTTTAATTCTATTTCACAATTTTGGTTTATTAATACATGTATAATTCTAGAAACAGTCTTCCGTACAATGGAAGTAAATGTGGATGCTTGTGCGAGGTGGTGAAATTAATGTTAATAACTGGTTTAAAATGACTGCTTCTCGTAGTATTAAAACGACATTTAAATTTTAAAATACGATTTAAAGGAGTTTAGTGCAGTGGAAGCTTACAAGAGCTCTAATTTTATTAATCACAATAACCCTTATTGAAGAGGCAAAACGTGACGCGATCGCAGTAATAGACCGCTAAGGGAGTATTAGTGGAATTGTTGGAATCAAATTTCATTAATGCAAATAACACATCGGAATTTCTACTGGATTAACGTAATGGAAATTGAATTGAAGTTAACGCAAATCAACAAAAAACGCAAGTATTGATGTTTGTTTTAAATTTACTGTTTAAGGAAAATGTCAAATTATTTTTGAAAAAGAAATTTATGCATAGATTATTACTATTGCGGCATATTTAAACAAAAATTAAGTATGTAAACCCATGTGCTTAGCTTGTATCTTCGACTGTTGTCTTCAACGCAGTTGCCGGAAGAAGAAATGTACATGTATTTTGATAGTCTTAAGAAACTGAAAATGCTAAGCTGATGAACAGCTTTTGTTTTTTGTAAACTATTACTGTATGAATTATTTCCAATGTGTAACATTTATGCCGGAAATTATAAAATAGAAAATGGATAACGATTATAAACTTTTTCTAACGGTTCCGAAAGATCAATTAATACCTAAAGAAAAACTAGTTTTAATATTATATTTATTAGCAATTATTTATGCTTTATTTTCAATAATTTTGCTTGCCCATCGTTTTTCTTACTTCGATCATTTTAAACAAAAAATTTCATTTTTTCTTCGGCCGATAATATTGCTCACACATGATACATGTGCGAGATGGTCATACCTCCTATAGTACTTTTAGAAGCTAACAACAATATATTTTCAATATATTATATATATAGCTTTAACATTTAGGTATTTGTTACATTATTGTACTTCGCACATGTTAAAAAACCCTACTTTTATTGAATTTGCCTAACGTTTGTGGAAAGTTTTAGGTCTTTCGGCACATAATGACAGATTCTAAGGTAATTCCAAGCAAAGAGCAGAATAAGTTGGGTCACCTGCTAGGCGCATGTGCTGTTACACTTACTTTTATTTGTAGGCTATTCATGTAGTATTGGGTTTGAAGTTTGCTCATCGACTTAATTTTACTGTGTGTTTCTCAAGTGACTGACATGTTGGAATCTCTCAGCGAAGTTGCAAGTATGATACCCCTTAATTTCATCCAATCGTCAATACCAGGAAAAGAGCTCAAACCAGTATATATTTTTCACGTCCATATACTATTGAGTGGCATACTTGCATTTAATGCGAAAGCTAGCAAAGACAAACAATGGTGAAACAATATTCCATTACTCTCCGACTAGAAATTAAGCAATGAAGTGGTTCGATGAGCTACACGAAAATCAGTTGCGGAAGATTTTGGTAGCGAGACTATGATCCCTTGAACTCGGCATGTGTCCTTCTCTCGGTGTCTTAGTTTCGCATCCCGCAGGCGTCCCGGAAAGTGATTCTCCATTAGGAGACGGCCAATTTTTTCGGGGTTTATTGTGTAATTTCCGCTTGGTTTGTTTAGACCGCATACACCATAGCTGTTGTCTTTAGCTAGAGGTTTCTGGAGCCACGCTACTTGTGGAAAACGATTTATGTCTTTACAGTGCTGTCCCAAGTGGCCTACTTTGATCGCCTCAACTCGGCGTTATATGTGGTGAGGGCTTCCTTGTACTTACCCCAATCACTCGATTTTTTGATTTTCACCTCGATAAGGTGAAGGTTTCCTGTGCTACTAAACAAAGGAAAGACGATCTATCCAGCTGGTGGCTTCTATATGACCTCACCCGATGTAAGGCCAGCGATCATCTCCCCAATTATGCGTTTTGTCGCGCTATTTATACTGTGTTGGTTGCTGCCTTACTCATAGTTCAATATTTGCCAGGGACATATAGAGATATGTTCTTATCTAAAACATTAGTATACATAAAATATTAATATATACAATTACAGTAAATAAAAAGTATTCTAATGAGTATATATATATGTATGTATTATATGGTGATAAATGTACATTTATCAGGAACATTTAACTAGAATAATAAACGCGTATATCTACATATACTATATATCTTGTCATTATACCTATACCATTGCTATAGAGATGATTGCTTTTTCTATATATTGAGGAATAAATCTCTATTCTAGTGTATCGTTTGATTTTGTGCACAGCAAAATGTCTACCTGCGTATTGTGAAATGTATGAATATGACATTGGGTTAGAAATGATCTTCATGTGAACTGCTTGAAAAAGGAAATGTTTTGAATGTATTGTAATGAGATTGAGTATATGTAACTGTATATTAATGGCAGAGGCTCTTCTCATAGAGACTAGTGTTCCTAATAAATGTAGCATAAATGTAGGGGCTTCGGTACGCCAAATCATGCAACTTCATTATTATGCTAACATGCATCGGCTAGAAGCGTCTCTAGACAACGTAGAGTGAATGGAGCGCGGCTTTTGATCCTTTAACTAAGAATCATCTTTTCCTTAATGAATTTCTCCTATTCACATCTATTTTCTTAGTTATTAATTTTCTACTTAAGTTTTAGAATGAAGCTATTTAATGCTATGGTAAGCACAATTATGAATTATGAATGGGTGCGCTTAGCATCAACTTGCATTCTTGCATTTGCTTACAATTGGGTTATTATTAAGAAATGCAATTCTAAGCGTTTTGAAGTGTGTTCATGCTTAATATCAAGCGTGTATTCCATATTCGCGAAGATTGTAATGGGAGTCGTAAGTTCGTGTATGTGGGGCAAGCCAATGGCATGTGGATTTATTTGTGTATAATAGATTACGTCGAAGCCTTATTACAAGGAAGTTTGCATTATATGCTCTTGTTTACGTACATTAGGGTTGAACATAGTTAAATATATATTTTCACATAAAAAAATATAAATACAATTCACATTTTAATAGAGTTTATATGATTTATATTTCGTGATGCAAGGTAATAGATATATTGTGGACGGCAAAGGGAGGTGCCTCCGATTTTGCACGTCACAATTTTACTGGATAATATTAACAAAACTATCATTTTCGTACCTGAGAATATCTCAGTTTTGGACTACGCTAGTGAGGTTGTCATTTTTACTGGGGTTTTACAATCTCCTGATCATATTTTATTTGTCTAGCCGAATGTTATCGCTTCTATTCGCCATTCTACACTTCGTAAGTTCTCTGCGTATGGTCTTCATGATGTGCAGCGTTTGAGACATTTTACGTTCACACAATGGTTTGCGCCGCTATATTTTATTTTTTTAAAGATTGTCATCAACGCATATAAAGATTTTCAGCCAAATTATGAATCCACTCTTGAAGGCACCCTTTTACTTTTACAATTTTCATCGATTTCATAAGACATTTCCATACTTTCCGTACTTTATCACTTCTCACACTACAAAATTCACTAGACACTATATCATTTGCAATCCTTTGAAGAAGATGATGCAAAAATATTTTCTTTAAAACTCGAGATATAAAAGAAAACAAGACAATTCATTGGAAGCTGGGGGAATTGATACTGATTTCAGTCACACTAATTTGCCGATGAATTTGCAGGATTATTAGTTAGTTTTCTTTCTGGATTTTTGTCGGTTATATCTGACTTCAGCTATTCCATTACTTTCTCGCCATGATTGGTGTTTCGTTTTGTTATTGTTTGCAAAAGAAAATACAGATTTTTATTTGACCTCGTTCCTTAGCGAAGACTACATAAATCGTTAATCATAAGTTTGTTGCAAGTTTGTCTGAGTCTTTAACACGCAAACTGGCATTTGCTAATAA